AAAGCTCTGGGATGTTCCTATGGATTTGCTCTCGGTGGATAGTCTTTGCTATATTGCAAGTGGAATTGGGGTTCCACTAGCTTTGGACAAGGCAATGGAAGATAGGACCCGAGTTGATTTTGCCAAAGTTTGTGTTGAGATTGAGGTTGCAAATGCCCAGGATTTGCCTGAAATTATCCCTGTTGATACTGAAGACTTTCCATCTGTGGATATAAGGGTAGAATACCCTTGGTTACCCACCACCTGTGGCTCATGCAAGAAGAAAGGGCACACCAGTCGCAATTGTAAGACAAAGAAACCCAAGCCAAAAACCTACAAGAAGGAATGGGTTGAGGTTGCAGGTAAGAATAAGCCAACTGAAGCTCCTGGTATTATTCCTGAACCTAACCAAGTTGCTATATCTGCGCCTAAAGTTCAGTCTGTCCCACTGGTTAAGGTTGTTGATGTTTCCCCTTCTAATCCAGAAGTTGTTGTTAATTCCCCAGTTCTATTTGAGGCCCCATTGACTGATGTTGAGTCGGTTGCTATTGGGTCCATGCCAATGTTTGCTGCTACAACTATGCCTGACAATGCTGAGCCTAACCCTTTAGGGAAGCAAAATTCTTTTGCAGCCTTGGCTTCTATTGATGATGAGCAAGCTTTTCCTTCCTTGAAGGCATCCTCTTTGTCTCCTAGGTCTGGCAAGAAACGTAAGCAAGCTTCTTTGGGTGTTGCTGCAGTCACAAAAGCATTGGCTCCTAGACAAAGAAACACCAAAAAAGTTCAGAATTCCTCCAGTGAGGTACCTCCCTTGCACCACAAATGAGGATTATTTTTTGGAATGTTAGAGGGATAAACAAGTCTCAGAAGCATAAATCTTTGAGGCACACTCTAAGAAGGTATGAAGTAAACATAATATGCTTGATTGAAACACATGTCCAGTTGTCAAAGTTTGAAAAAATTACTGAATTTCTTCTCCCAGGGTGGTGCAAGTTTGGAAACTATGATTGTGCCTCTTCAGGAAGAATATGGCTTCTTT